CGGAGGTTCCTGTCCTGCCAGAGTCTTCGCTTCTCGGCCATCTTCGTCCCAGCAATATGTGCTAAAACAGTTGAAGCATCGCAGACGGCGGAGAGATCTATGGAGGAGAATACATTCGACGCCTCTATCTTGGAGATGTGGCTCGTAGTTGACTCGGTGGTGGCCTTGGACATGTCTTGGCCGGTACTTCCTACAGAAACGAGATCGACTTCCAGGACCCTTCTGCAAATCGGTAGAGAGGCTAACCTTCTCTTTAAGGCAGTTGATGTTCTGGGTATAGTCCTGAACCAGCTTTCCAGCATCATGTAAACTAAGGATGAGGTGATGTGTTCTTGTTGGACTGGCGTGTTTAAGAGAGGCCTCCTTTCCGGATCAGAAAGAACCGACGAGTGGAAAAGACGACGATAACCGAGGGAAAAAACGCCATTTTTCGACCGAAAGTCCTATGTATGGTGAGAGGTGACCAAGAAGGGAAGCGGGGAATACCTATAGGAATACCTGCCTTTATACTGATACTAGCCCCTGTGACGGTCACAATCTTGGATATGGCACTAAATAGGCTTACGATACTTTACAGGTGGAGACTGTTGTCCGGTCGCACATGGGTGATGGCCATTGCACCAAGGCAGTGATGGACAGTGATTTTGTCGAGCTCACTGGTCAGCTGTGGGTTTGTCGGGCTTCCAAGGAGGGAGAAGTCAAGGGATAAGGAGGAGGAGAAAGGGAAGAGGGGTAAGAGGTGGTTTATATACTCTAGAGATCTAGGCATCTATGCCTTGACCACTCTTTTCCCGCTCCTTACAAAGCCGGTGTCTCGGGTGGGTACGGAGTATGGCGACGTTGGTGGCCGGCGGAAAAGGCAAACAGGGCCTGTCTATTCGTAGCGATCCATATAAGTACTGAGCAAGGCAGAGTTCACTTGACAGTGCAAGTCACTCTTAGTAGCCAGATGATGTTAGGATATCGTGCTGTGGATCTGAAGGGCATGACGTTGGAGATGTATCTTGTGGTCTAGTGGCATATAGCAAGCTCCGTACTCTATATCGTCCCCCTGTTGGATGTTTTTCAGGTGCTTCTGTCGGAAGTGCTTATTTAAGTCGCCGGCACTGTAAAATTCGTGTGTGAGTTCTTCGATGCAAGGATCACCCGGTTCTAAGTGGAGCACTAGGCCAATGTAAAGGAAGCATCTCCTCGGCCTCTCCTCCTTACTTGCTATAAAGACAGACAACACAGCCGTACGACGACCGTCTTCTGTATAATAACTGTCTTCTCGAGGCTTATCCTTGACGGAAGACCGCCGCATCGTCCCTGCCCTGGAGTTGGTGCGCCGTACAGCCGGCCCTTCCACCACGACGCAATAGGCCATCACGGCATAGATGGCAACATCTCTTCGCCGGTGTTGGCCCTCGACTGTGCTTTCGACTGGGGCCGTGAGGGCGTCCATTAGTCGTTTCTGGGCTGGTCGTCTCGGACGGTTAGACTTCCGGATGGCCGGTTCCTCAACGAAGCCAAGGCCCGTAAGCTGGTTCTCAATGTCGATTACTGCCTGTTTGTTGGTCTACTGTTCTCTGATCCTGTCCTTGAGGGCCCTTCTCTGTGTCTGCTTAGCGCTCCGGAGCTTGTCATGTGCCTTCTTGTATTTCTCTATGGCGTTACGTGAATGTTTTGCTTGTTGGCGTAGCTCCTTAACCTTAGAGGCTAGCTTCTTGATGCCAGGGTGGGAATTGACGGATGCTGCCTGATCTGGCGTCAGATTCACGGGGCGTCGTTTGCTGATGGAATGGCCGATACTGCAGGACTTTTGCACCAGGGCATTCT